ACCATTTTTATTATTGTTGTAATTTTGCTGTTTAGACCATTTTTTAAACTTATATAATGATAATAAAGGCATATTGATGCAAGTACACCCTTTTAAAGAGAAATAAACATTTATTTAACAAGAATATTTAGGAATGCAAAAAAGACAATTTAAATATCCGAAATAACACGTAAAATATCGAAATAAATAAATACATACAAAAAAATAGACTCTCAGTCTCTCACTCTCAGGTGTGCAGTTAAGTTGGTCGTATTCGCTCATTTTGTTGAGATGGTTTTAGAACAAACCCGGCATACCGGCTCGTCCAAATTACTGGGCTCCCCTATGTCATCTGGTTTAAATCCAAAATACTCCCACACAGGGGCCGTGGCATTTGGTTTAGGAACAAGTTCCCTGTCTTTCTCTTACACTCAACTGTTATTTTTTTTCTCCGCCTCGTCTCCCCCTCATGAAGATCACACTGAGGCCCAATTCCAATCCGATCCTTTACAGACTCACTGACATAGAGGCGCGTTCATGTTAAGTGCATGAGTGTGTGAGGGCTGTCCCACTGTCAAATCATCAAGTCAGTGAATCAGTGAGTGAGCCCTTTATGCCCCTTTACCGTAGGTCCGCATCGATGCGGACTTACTAGGGGTGTAACGGTACACAAAAATCTCGGTTCGGTACGTACCTCGGTACACAAGTCACAGTTTGTTTTTTATCGGTACAGTAATGAAAAAAATAGACAACTATTAAATATCTTTTACTTATTGGTAACCTTATTAAAACATACCACCACAGCAGTTAACTCTTTTAACACAATTTTTGAATGAAACAAATATATATATATAAAATCCTGCTTTTTCACATTGTTTGAATGAAAATAGAAATATAAAAGTGATAAATAAAATCCTGCTGTTTTTTTAACACATTTTTGAATGAAAAATATAAATATATATTTCTGCTTTAACAGTTTTACTCAATTAAAATAAAAAGTATAGTGCAGCTGGTCAGCTTTAAAGCCTGCTCAGATTCAGTTTTACTAGGAACTTACTTAGCTTTCCCACTTTGTTAGAGTGCAGTAAACAAAACATGCTTATATCTAAAGTGCAGCTTAAACAATTTTACTCAACTCCAATGGCATTGATTATTTCTTTAGCGCAATGGTCAGGGAAACGCTCTTTCTTTTAAAAAGACGACAATAACGTAGTTTGCACCAGATTGCTTTTTCTAGTCGTGCCAGTTAACGTTCAAACTCGGGTGGTGTCGCTTTAGATGCGTTAGCATGTTAGATATGTTTCCAAGTACATACCCGACCGCTGTTCTGCAGTGTCGACACACTGCTTTTGTCTTGTCCACTTGTTTATTTCCATCTTCGTATTTTACCCTGAAACCAAAGTGTTCCCAAACGGAGGACTGTTTGCGGGTGGGTCTTCAGGTTCGTCAGGCTCACTTGCCATGTTGTCAAAATGCGAGAATGCACTGCACAAAGTGAAAGCGGAGATTTACGGGACTCGGTCCGTCACTCAATTATGTCCGTCGGGGAACTAGATATTTTAAATGGTTCGGCTAGCAAAAACGAAATTAAAATAAAACAAAATAAAATAAAATAATAACCTGAACCCAATAATTCGGTACAGGGTCGTGCCGAACCGAAAGTCGCATACCGAACGGTTCGACACAAATACATGTACCGTTACGGCCCTAGGACTTACGGTAAGGAAATTACCCACAGTTCATAGCGCTGTGACGTCAAATACAGGGGTTGCCCTCAGAACACCGGAAGTGTTATAAAAAAACAAAAACATGGTCAGCAGATATGCAAACGGTAACGCTCTCCTCTCGTGGAAGGAGAGCGAATAAAACACACAGATAAACAATGAAACATTACATTAACAAGGATTTAAGATGGTACATAAACACACATGAAGTCAGAGGAATACCAGTGGTTATATTCCACACACAAAGAATAGCCTATATATGTATATCTATAAATATATATACAGTACAGGCCAAAAGTTTGGACACACCTTTTCATTCAATGCATTTTCTTTATTTTCATGACTATTTACATTGTAGATTCTCACTGAAGGCATCAAAACTATGAATGAACACATGTGGAGTTATGTACTTAACAAAAAAAGGTGAAATAACTGAAAACATGTTTTATATTCTAGTTTCTTCAAAATAGCCACCCTTTGCTCTGATTACTGCTTTGCACACTCTTGGCATTCTCTCCATGAGCTTCAAGAGGTAGTCACCTGAAATGGTTTCCACTTCACAGGTGTGCCTTATCAGGGTTAATTAGTGGAATTTCTTGCTTTATCAATGGGGTTGGGACCATCAGTTGTGTTGTGCAGAAGTCAGGTTAATACACAGCCGACAGCCCTATTGGACAACTGTTAAAATTCATATTATGGCAAGAACCAATCAGCTAACTAACTAACTAACTAACTAAGAAAAACGAGTGGCCATCATTACTTTAAGAAATGAAGGTCAGTCAGTCCGGAAAATTGCAAAAACTTTAAATGTGTCCCCAAGTGGAGTCGCAAAAACCATCAAGCGCTACAACGAAACTGGCACACATGAGGACCGACCCAGGAAAGGAAGACCAAGAGTCACCTCTGCTTCTGAGGATAAGTTCATCCGAGTCACAAGCCTCAGAAATCGCAAGTTAACAGCAGCTCAGATCAGAGACCAGATGAATGCCACACAGAGTTCTAGCAGCAGACCCATCTCTAGAACAACTGTTAAGAGGAGACTGCGCCAATCAGGCCTTCATGGTCAAATAGCTGCTAGGAAACCACTGCTAAGGAGAGGCAACAAGCAGAAGAGATTTGTTTGGGCCAAGAAACACAAGGAATGGACATTAGACCAGTGGAAATCTGTGCTTTGGTCTGATGAGTCCAAATTTGAGATCTTTGGTTCCAACCGCCGTGTCTTTGTGAGATGCAGAAAAGGTGAACGGATGGATTCCACATGCCTGGTTCCCACTGTGAAGCATGGAGGAGGAGGTGTGATGGTGTGGGGGTGTTTTGCTGGTGACACTGTTGGGGATTTATTCAAAATTGAAGGCACACTGAACCAGCATGGCTACCACAGCATCCTGCAGCGACATGCCATCCCATCCGGTTTGCGTTTAGTTGGACGATCATTTATTTTTCAACAGGACAATGACCCCAAACACACCTCCAGGCTGTGTAAGGGCTATTTGACCATGAAGGAGAGTGATGGAGTGCTGCGGCAGATGACCTGGCCTCCACAGTCACCGGACCTGAACCCAATCGAGATGGTTTGGGGTGAGCTGGACCGCAGAGTGAAGGCAAAGGGGCCAACAAGTGCTAAACACCTCTGGGAACTCCTTCAAGACTGTTGGAAAACCATTTCAGGTGACTACCTCTTGAAGCTCATGGAGAGAATGCCAAGAGTGTGCAAAGCAGTAATCAGAGCAAAGGGTGGCTATTTTGAAGAAACTAGAATATAAAACATGTTTTCAGTTATTTCACCTTTTTTTGTTAAGTACATAACTCCACATGTGTTCATTCATAGTTTTGATGCCTTCAGTGAGAATCTACAATGTAAATAGTCATGAAAATAAAGAAAACGCATTGAATGAGAAGGTGTGTCCAAACTTTTGGCCTGTACTGTATATCTATAGATATATATTCTTTGTGTGTGGAATATATGCTGACAATAACCGATAAATGATCACGCCCGGAGCCGCCAGTGTCAACAACATTTTGTAGAGAGGGGAATAAGTGCTGTCCCATTCCTATTTGTAGCATCCGGAGCCCTTTCAGACTCTCACACTCAATCATTTACAGCTGACGTCAGTTAAGTCAGTGAGGGTTCAGGGCTTGGGTCTTTAGGGGCTGGATTGGAATTGGGCCTGAGTCTGTGTATGTTTAGCCCATAGCCCCGCCTCCCCCACAGAGACAAAGACACTCGATGACAAGAGCTTTCCCTCCGTTCATTACTCTAATGAACCAACTCACCTGGCTGCCAGACGATGCACGGCAGTGAACGCTCTTGTCGTCCAGTCTCTTTGGTGGAGAGAGACAAGGAAAACAAACATGCATGAATATGGCAATTAATCTCTTTTAATTTACCGTGCAATTAACCGATGTATCGCATATTGAAACAGGCCTAATTATGATTCCCAGTCCTGCCTGCTCCTGTTGACCATTTTTCCCATCCTGTCCCAGTCACGTGACAAATAGTGAAACTGATTCCCATGTGGGAATCCCACGGGAATCATGTGACCTGTGAGACTCCCCAAAAAAATGTCAGCCTCTATGTAGCAGTAATGCCAACTGTCGAGCATTTCCAGTGGGAGAGAAGGAATCGTGGGTGTAACCCGCTCTGGAGCCACGTCAAACCCACCAAATCTTTGAGTATTTAGAAAAGCGCTATAAAAAACCGATCTATTATTATTATTATTATTAATAGAAACTTTTCTCTCATCCATCAGCGTAGGCCGCGCCCATTAAGTGCAGTTGAACTTGCAAGCAAAACTTTTTAACTTGCAAACAAAGAGGACTGATTCATAAGCAAAATGATAACACATTTTTACTTACAAACTTGATTTTTGATTGCAGTTCAAGAAATATGCTCTCAAAACAGTTTTATATGATTGTAACAAAAAGACACAAAAATCCCTCCATATTGCTAGGGTATAGAATCTTGTTTGCTAGCTGTTAGCTTTGACTCCAAGCTAACATTAATTTATCTGGTATTTAGTTGTTACTTGTTTTTATAAACCCTTTCTTAGGGAGGTAATTCCTCTAAAAGTGTTTCTTCTTCAAATGCTGACACAAAAATTATAAGTTTATCTCATCTTAAAACAAAAAGGAGAATAATCTTCAGGAGTCTCTCTCTCTCTCTCTAATACAATTATTATTGATTCATATTCTAGAAGCATATCATAGTTCATGTTACATAATCTTTTTATATGGCTTCTAAGACTGTTTTAACTAAAGACTTTTCCAGAGTCCTACGGTCCCTGCAGCAGTTTGTACCTGGATCCCACTCCAACAGGCTGGCGTCCTCCCAACTAGTCCCTGCTGCAGTTCGGATACACTTCTTCACTTTCTCCACCTTTGCTTTCTTTTTGTCCTCTGAAGCACTTTCCACAGGCTGGAACGAACGAACGAATGAACGAACACACACACACAGACACACACAGACACACACACACACAATGTAAAATCTTTATCAATGTATCCTTGAAAAGTATTTTTTGAGATGAATGTACACTGAACAAAAGTCTTTTATTGTGACCAGTTCAGGCACACCTGTGTAATTGTGTGCGGTTGTGTGTCCCTTTGGATGTACTGTCAAATTAACCCTTTGGGCCCTAGGCCTTTTTGGGGTATTTTTACTGCCTTTACTTTTAAGCTCATATCACAGTCATTATAAAGGCTACATACACATGCTATATCTTGTTTTTTTCAAGACAATGAAGGGCTATCCAGATTTGCCATCATTACATGTCCTTCTATGTGCCTGTATTTTGTATTAATTTTTATATCAATGAAAAAAAAAATCTGTTACTAAATTCTTACATTTTTACATGTATCTCACCACAGCAACTTGGAAGTAGACATATTCTGCCACATATGAAGAGGGGAGACTCTCTGGAATCTGCCAATATAAGAACCATGATGCTGGGACATTCTGTCACTTCACAGTTGTCCAAAACATGTGGTTTGTGCCAGGCGGATTTGATTGCCAGTATTTTTTCATTATTGCAAGAAATTCCATTGACTCATTCACAAATCAAAAAATGTGTTTTATTTGAAAGAAACATGCAATATTTACATCTATGGTAATAGAAATATCGTAATAATATTATTCCTCACTATATAAAGTGACTGATAACAAGATCTGTATAATGGCTTGCAAAGAAATTCGTCAGGTTTTAATTCTGTAGACATTTGATCTGTATTTACAGCATGATGGGATAACAGCACAATGATGTGTTTCATATGATGTGCGTGGCATTTCTGTGCGACCCTGCATTTGCGAGTAATCCATCGAACAGTAATGTGTGTGCAAAGCTGTATGAAAGCTTTGTTATACTATACTTTCAACATACTGTATATTTTCAACATATTGTACCACAATAACCGGAATTATAATTATATCATTATTATATTACGTTCATTAATGTTGTTGTAGGCTACTGTCATTATCGTCTGTCCTGCATCTCTCTCTGTCTGTCTCTCTTTCTGTATCATTGTGTCATACGGATTACTGTTAATTTATTATGTTGATCTGTTCTGTACGACATCTATTACACGTCTGTCCGTCCTGGAAGAGGGATCCCTCCTCAGTTGCTCTTCCTGAGATTTCTACCGTTTTTAGGGTGGACTGAAACAAAATTAGAGACGTCTTATGGTAGTAAAATGAATATTCAGTTCAGGGCCAACAGTTCTGGTGGACATTCCTGCAGTCAGCATTCCAATAGCACACTCCCTCAAAACTTGGGACATCTGTCATTGTGTTGTGTGATCAAATTGCACATTTTAGAGTGTTCTTTTATTGTAACCATCCCAAGGCACACCCTGTCTCACTCTAACTGGTGTGTATGGTTGAAATTTGCTGACTCAACAACTGATTACTATTGGTGGCTATTTGTTTGGTTAACAGATTTCCTATTGATTGTGCAGAAACATTTCTATCTTTTGTCCATTCATCTATCTACGACAGTAAAGCTTGTGACAATGAACCCACACATTATACCAACAGGGATTTCAGTTCAATAAATTCCATGTAAAATAAGGAAATACCTTTTTACAGCGTTTTTATGAAACAATTATCACTCACTCCAAGCGCAAAATAAGGCTGCTGGATTTAATTTCAATGATAACGTGGATCTAAAGTGGATATAGCGTGACATTAAATTTGTGTGAGACATCAATAAAAATCTGACTCCACTTCTCCACCTTGCTGTCTGCGTCGCTGCTTCCCAGTGTCTTCCAAAATGTGCGCACGCATGACTCAGAGTTTGCTTACAGGTGCGCACATTCTCCCGCCAAGTTTATTTTTATCAATCACAACCTTTGCGTGGTAAGTAGCGTACGCCACTTTCAAGCCCCGTTTTGTGCGTAAGCAAACTTTATAAATGAGGTCCCTGGTCCTTATGAGGAGTTGGGCATGAGATAGTTGAGTCACGAGCACAATGGCAGACGGACAAAGTTTGGAAACACGTGAAAAATGGCCTAACGAAGCTCCTCTGTCTGAGGAGGCAAAGAAGAGCAAAAAGGAGAGTGATAAAAGAAGAGGAAAAACAAGAGTAAACTTAATTCAGGCGTTCAAGAGATGGAGGGAGCTCCGTGACCAAAGAGGCTTCAAAACCGATGTCCAGCTAGCTTTCTTTCTAATGGATCAGTAAGTAACACGGCTAAATGTTAGCTAGACGAGAGAGGACTGTACTGTACTGGCTGCTAGTTGGCTAGCATCGCAAATTGCCGCAACCAGGGACCGGGTAGCGAGTGTTGGTCGGCTGACATCCTCGTTGCCATTCTACAGGGGCTCTGTGGCTCAGAGGTAGAGCAGGTCGTCCACCAATCGAAAGAGCAGCAGTTCGATCCCGGGCTCCTCCAGGCTGCATGTCGAAGTATCCCTGAGCAAGATACTGAACCCCAAATTGTTCCCGATGGCTGTTCCATTGGTGTGTGAGTGTGTTAAAACTGAGTAGCAGGTGGCACCTTGTATGGTAGCCCCGGCCACCAGTGTATGAATGTGTGTGTGAATGGGTGAAAGTGACTCGTAGTGTAAAAAGCGCTTTGAGTGGTCACTAGATGACTAGAAAGGCGCTATACAAATGCAGGTCCAGTTACCATTTACAGCAGCCCTAGGACAGTGATACCCCCCTCCCTTCCTTCTGTTATCTTCTCACAGAGGCAGTGATCGACGGACATCGCCCAGCTAAGTTACGCCGGTCACTGGCCATAAATGTGAGGGCAGCCTTCGCAGCTACTGGGCACCCAGCATCTCCGACCGCTCCCGTTTGTCTCGTGAACGTCTCTCCTCTGTCAATACACTCTGCCAGCAATTTAATAATATTGATGCCAGTTGTAACATTTGAATGTTTTAGTAGTAAGCCATGTTCTAAGCGGGATAATGTATAGTGAGCCGGTGACTGTTGAAAAATAACTCCGCTGCGTGTCGGGGTTCCCCTGTCGGGAGTTATTTTTCAACAGTCACCGGCTCACTATACATTA